AAATTCAAAGACTGAATATAATTTTAGTTGTGACCGAGCTTATTAAAAAAGAAGAAACCTTAAAAAATTTAAATCAATCGCATAAAATAATTAATCAAACGTTAAACGTGATTCCGCCTTCAAGATCCAGATGTCGCATAGATCGCATCACTTTTTTTCCCAATTTCTCATTCTTCCTTACATTTCATCAGTGGAAATAGCTGAAGGCACTTTTCCAGTGCAATTCCGTTATTCCGCTTGATCAAGACTTTTGAACTTCCCGCCACTAACAAGGTCAAATAACAAAGGCTACGCCACGTTGCACCGTGCAAGAATATTATCTTTGCTTCATGACAATTCACAAAAAAAACCGTTAAACGACCAATAACGGCCAAGTACGCCAAATGGTATCCTAGCATAAAAATAATAAAAATTAATACGTAACTTTCATTAAGGTTAAGTGCACTGACGTAACCGGAAGCTCTTCTTGTCCGACGATAATAATAATAATTACCATAAAAATGACTTCACGTTAAATAAAACCAAGCAAGTCTTCCTCGGTTGAATTTAAGTTACAACTGCGACGTCATTCCTCGGACGTCGTTATAGTTGTGTTATGACGTCACGGCATACTTCCGTGTATACCGATAACAGTAGCTGTACTGTATAGTAGATGGTAACGTTAAACCCTAAATGACAAATCTAGCTCGTCAAATTGCAAAGCAATATTCAAATTGATCCGTGTTGACAAACTGATTTACATATTGCCCAGTCAGGATTCAATCACTTGGCCAACAATTGGTATCGATCGAGATTACAAGGCGTTAGTCCCTTGTAAAGTGAATATTCGTAGACAAGTAGAAACGTACATACGATTTTATGGTAAAATGACTGTCAGTCGTAAATGATCGAATTATATATCCTATTACAAGAGGTTAGGTTAGGTTAGGCAATAATTAGATATAAGCTCGGATAAATTATTTGGAATACTTTAAAGCAGTCAATATATACATTTTTAAGGTTCCAATGATACACAGGAATTAATATTCGCTGAGTTTTCAAATTTTTTTTACGATTTATAAATAATAACTATTTATTTTTTTTAACTTCATCTCCCATGTCAGCACTGACTTCAGACTGCGGCGGTTGAATTAATATTATTTTATAGGACTACGTGGAATAGATTTACCCTGGATTATTGACTGTCGAAGCTTAAATCGACGTTTTGGCCAAATGCAAGAGTATGCACTACGAGAATGCACCGGAATGCACTTTTCTTGTAATCGTGAAACCGAGTGAGATGGTGAACGTAGCAGAACGAATCGGAGCTTCAAAATCGAAATCCCTCCACCAATTAATACATCGGGAGTCCTCACCGAAGCTGGATCAGCTGATCCGCGAAGGCCGAGAACTGCATCCAGGGTACACTCGGGTGGGCACTGCACTATAGCACAACACTGCACCTCCGAAACGCGCGCAGAAAATCGGTAGGATTTTCTGGATATCGCGAGAGCAACGGGAACTACACGAGCGAGAACTTTGTATACCGTATAGGAAACGCGGGTTGAAAAAGTGTAAACAAACAGCCCGGGAGCGCGAGGCAGCTCGAGGCAGCCCGATCGGCGTCCCGAGACAGACTGCTTTGAAGCGGTCGATTGACAATAGTCAAATTCGGGAACTGATCGTTCCGATTGGTCGAGATCCTTATAGCCGATAACTCTTATCCTCTCCCTCGATTCGTCCCTTTGAACCAAATCGAGAGCGTTCCTTAGCGAATCGGTACGTAACTACCGGAGATCCTCCACGGCCGCTTCCCCAGGGCACCGGGCGACATCTGGGCACCGCGTCCTGAACCCGGGTCAGGGTGCTCCTCCCCTGGCCTTAACCGTACATATGACACGCATATATCAACATGGCATTTATTCATTTCTGCCGACTATAGCCCTTTTACCAGAATTCAAATAAATACACTCGACTACGTATACAATAGAAAATCATGTGACGTTTATTCGCCATACGTATAGGCACCGTCGCATAATTTAATTGTCGCACGTTTCGCACCAGCCCAAAGGATTACCAAGCTGTCGTTAGCGAGTTGCCTTGCAATGAATTTCCCATGACGCCGTTCCTGCAGTTTCTGGGCTTCTCGGGTAATGTCGAATTCACAGGAGATTGTCTATACGTTTTCAAGGATGCTTAAGGGTCTCTCCACAATGTCGCTACGAAATGCATGGGAAATTGCACTTACGTGTGAAATAGTGCCGAATGGGCTTTCGGGTGTATTTGAAATGCGATTAATACAAATGGTCGTCCGATTGCGTATTTATACAAGTGGCGCCAATTTCAAATTGCCTCAGACGCTTCTCTTGTTTTACATTATCGACGTAGTTATTATACCGGCGCCGTTTGCTCTTCTCGATAGTTTCGCGCTATACCCATTTATATGGAGAATATGGAATATTGGTATTGTGCCAATTTCGAAAATTCAACTTTACCAACTTAATTTACCCTTTTTAATGCACCCTGCTTATCTCGTGCAATGAGTCTTGTTGCTTCAATTTATGACGCAAGTTAAAAATAATATAAAAGTTCTTCGCTTCTTGTTGCGCTTTGGTGCGCTTATCAATAAATTTATTAATATTTTTTCTGGTAATTCATTACTTTAATGAAACGCTGTACGCTAAGATAATTGTGTAATTTTTGATATAGAAATTATATTAAATTATAAATTTATCGTGAATATACATATTTTGTATATTAGTTCGTTGCACGTTATTGTAATCTTGTGTTAATCAAAAAAAAAAATTAATTATATAGTAGATTAATATTTTCTTTTTTTTTAGCAAAAATTTGTATTATTGCCCGTGAAAAATTGTCCCTTATATTTTCCTGTATTTAATATCGGAGGTAGAATGTTATATTTAAAAACGCCGTCGTATTGGATGTCGTACTTATTTTCCTATTTACTTTATTTCGTATTATTAAAATTTAATAAAAAAAAATATTTTTTTATTTTTAAAAAAATATTTAATATTTTTTTGCCGCACCGTGATTCGTACTCGAAATTTCCTTAAACGTGAATTTATAAGAATCTTTAGTGGAATCGGATAACAAAAAGCGAAATCACTAGATATTTCATATTTTCTCGGATATTTTATCTTGCTGATATTTTATGCACTTTAAAGATATATTGAAAAAGTGATTTGCAAAACGTTAATTACGTCATTTTTAGAGCTTCTGTCGCAAAAATAACTTTAATTATCGTTATTCAGCTATATGACCATATACAGAACGAAATAATACACGAAAATGTAACGTCCAGCGCGATATATTTGATGGGCTCGCAGAGATAATGAAAGAGGCGAACAAATATTGAAATATTAAAATTTCAATAAAAAGTTCATCAGAACACGTCGAAAGCGGATTTTCGCTTTAATTAATCAGGACAAAATCGTGATTATTATGTACGATTTATTATTTAATATAATAATAATGGCAGACTTTGTGCAATGTAAAAAGCCGAGCTTTGAGGTAAACACACTGAAAATGTGAAATTTCCATGTTCGTCAGTGCTAGTAAAATACACGAGGAAGCGGAGTGACGTTACTGACGAGAATAACAATGCCGAGTTTCCACATAAGAATCCGTAGCAATAAAATAAATGAAACGTCAAATACAAAATAAAAGCAATAACAACGTTTCACAGTCACCGCATACGAATTTTCCATAAAAAAGAAAAAAAAAGAAAATCCAAATTCTCCTAGAAATCAATGAAACCTAAGTACTTTTATGCTTGAATTTACTTATAAAAAAAAGCGATAATCGATCCAAACTAATTACGAAAAACTTCAAACGTTCAAAAAACTCGATAAAAACGACGTAAAAGTCATAAAAAATCTTCTAAAATCCACATTTTTAATATTTCTTTAATCAACGACCGATTCGCCTGATTCCAAAAAAATTATCCCCCATTTCAATAATAACAATATCCAATTGCAAGTCGAGCACCAAACAATCATGAATATTCGGATTATCATCAGCAGTTGGCAGCTTAATCACGTAAAGTCATTATTTACCGAACATTTCGAGAACCGAGCAAAATCAATTCAATCAGCGAGTCAGCCAATAGCGCAATAACTGGCGAATGAGCCTAAATGAAAAACCGAGCCGAAGTCCCGAAGTAAATATATACATATATATACGGTAACAGAACTCCTCCCCTCCCTCCCCACATGGATAACAAATCAAGTGAAATCAGCTGCGATTCGTTCGCGGTTACCGTGACCATTTTCAAGGCAAAAAATGCGAAAATTCAGAAGGTCCAATTCGTACCCAGTGCTACCATCCAAGAACTTGTTATCGGCAGCATAGAAAACCACTGGTGTCCTTGATTCACAAAAAAAAAAATTCAACCCTCACTCCTACGCTACATATATCAATAAAATATAAAAATATTTTATCTCAGCACTTACCAGAGATGAGATCGATATTACGTATATACGTTCCCTTACGTCATCCTCCGTTTGACCTCCTTAACGTGAGCTCCGATTTCGTATGCAAGACACAGTGCATCAACACGATGCACCAACGAGATTTGCAGGTCCTGCATGGGATTGGTCAGGTATACCGATACCTAATTTCACGACATTATCTCCCTGCGACACGCCACTACGAGATAATGCTCAAGAGGAGATGGTCCATAGGTGTTACTACTGTTGTAATGTAACTGGTAGCATAGAGACTGAGAGATACTCGTGCTCCCTCCAAGCAGGAGGAATTAGCTGGGTAATCTCTGCTTTCCAAGCTGGCATTCGACCTGGACATATCCCCAGTACGGGTGGCATACCAAAATTATCATAGTTTTGCATAACAAGGATCGAACCAAGAATACCGATGGACCAGATGCTTTTTGACGATATAAAAATTTTGAAAAATTGCCCGTCTTTGTTTCGAGTTATACGAAACAGGTGGATATAATAATAATGAATTTGATGGTAAGTCAAAAATTTTGAATTTTTTTTTTACAACATAAACATGTACGTAATGATAAAGGAGAGGGGTGGATGAGAAGATGACGCGATGATTGATAATATATTTTGACACGGGTTCTATGGTCTACAGTCAGTCTAACTGGTTGTCTATCTTCCGCGATTTTACTATATTTTTTTCGGTTTTCTGAAAACGCTGCAAGACGTCGCTGCCCCTTGAGCACTTGTGTGGGTGGTAATGGTCCCATGTGTCGATGGGGAAGTCGGAGGGCTAGTCCGTTGGCTCTGGGCAAAGTAGCTGCTTTTGCTCGTGTCCCTGGGTTAGCTTCACTTGAAGTAGCATCGGTTCTTTTGATTAGTCTCTGTCGGATACGAGAGACTTCCGCGTTTAACTGCGTCTTTCTTGTCGCCCGATCCAGCTTCCTTTCGTTCCCAAACTTTTTTCCCCGAATCCCGGACGCTGAAGTCTCTGGTTTTTTTCCTCAATCCCCAAAACACGGTCCTCCGGTGGACCTTGGAGTGGTCGCAGCTCCTTTGTGGAGACGTAGGACCTCACGAAAATGGACGGGTAGGGTCCCACTTCGGAAAATTCTTTCCTCCCTTCTTCATTCCTTTTCCAACTTCGAAGCTCCTTTCCTCTATTATCTTCAACGTTTTCTTTCTTCCCGGATCATCCAACCAATCATCAGAAGCCTAACTTTAAACACTTGCACTACAACTGGAACTATAACTTTCACCTGCATTCTACTCGCAGGCACATGAGAGCTTCGTAAATTAATAATTTATTTATCGTCAATTAATTCCCGTGGTATTCTCAATGTCAGGTTTTCAGTATCTTTAACTCTATATGACTTATTGGTACAATAAATCCGGCTACCGGCTGCTCAATTATGATATGGAACAGTATAACGGAGTACTATATTTGGAATACATTGGAATTTCAAGAGAATAACCATTCAGGGAATTTCATTTCAATGCTGTGGAACATTTGGGTTTCTAACCATTGGGTTTCTACCTTTATGCATATATAGTACATTCTGCATATCAGAACCGCGCGGCACAGATTACACGGACATGTCTAGTCTACATATTTCAATACTTTTTGTCAGAGGAATTCACAGCACTCCCATACAGTGTACATTAGCATAGTTGTTTTCACGTATTTTTTTTTTTGGAGAAATCACAAATTTTCATTCCTCAACGGGATATATTAAGAAAGTTCCAATCACTCGAATCTATATTGTTACAGAAATAAAATTTAAATACATAAATACTCTTAGTTCACCGCACGGCGTATACGAGCAGGACGCCATTAATGACGCCTGTTACATGACTTGCGTCGCATTGGCTGTACAGCCGGTTGCCTGTAGCCGGCGCGAGACTCGATCGAGTCTCTTGATTGACTGTGAGGAATCTGTAACGTATATTAAGAATAACTGAATTAGCAGATATGACTGTACGTAGTTTAAATGTAATTAAATTAATTATATATAAATGAGATATACATACGTATAATTCGAGGAAGTTGAACTCAGAGTGTTTGTTAGTCGTTGATTGTGTTAGTAATTACACAAATTTGGTGTCTACGGCCCTATTGAGGTTAGAAGGATCGATAAATTTTGAAATGTAGGGTAACAGTAACGAGATATACTGACTAAAGTATATAGGGACACGTCAATCCTGTCCCTAACGACGCGAGGACGCCATTATTCTTATGAGCCGGGTCGGAGGTCGTGCGCGGATTGAAAATAAGGAGAGAGGGACAAGTAGGTTGGAATTGCTTGAGTAGGAAGAGGGAGAAAGCGTGAGAGCGAGGGTAGCGGAAACTAGGGAAAAGAAGAACAAAGAAAGAAAGAAGTAAGAAGCCGTTGGGCCTAGCCTCGTCTACGTCGGATACATCGTCAGGGACGACGTACCCTAAGGTGAAGAGAAAGTACGAAAATAATGGAGGCCGAGTATCGAGCGTCGCCTGGGTACGAGGCTATGACTAGAATATGTAATATTTAAAGCCAGAATTAAAAGGGTCCGATCGCGGCGCCACCTGGCGACGAAATTCGTAACTCGAAAGCGACAAGCGAGAACTATCAATCGACTGTTGCATTGATTTCGAAATTCCCGTCGCATTGAAAAAACGCGATACGGTCGCCATGTTGTCCTGCATAGAAATTAAGGGTGTACGATAATATTGATTTAATATATAAACAATAGGGATTTCTATGCATTTTAGATGCTGAGAGTTTATTGCGCCATATAACGTAGCGTAGTAAATATATTGCATGGAGCACAAATATATAGAGAGGAACATGGGGAATGACACTTGGGCGGTGGTAAAGCAAAGGGCTGAAGGGTTTAGACGGTGGATTTAAAGTGAGACGTTTCCGCGGAATTGAACCAATCCCAAGAGAGCTGTCAATCCGGGTTATACGTTGGTAAACCCTTGAATGAATATGGATGCCTGGATTGTTGGGTCGAGGAGTCTCTGGAACCGTATGACTACACGCACTGGCTTATAGTGACTGGATGTGAGGTACTCTTATATTGAGATAAATATGCGACACCCGATATATATCAATGCACCCTGTGCATGCTTGGCTATATCATGTGTGTACGTACGTCACCCGTTCTGACAATAGATTCCCGCTCTATTATCACTAGGTATCGCTCGCTGGCTGAACCGCCAATATACTTTATACAGCATTCTATATATATAGTGTGTATACTATATATACCCGATATATAAAGCGACACTGCACTCTATCCTCATAGTACGCTCTACTTCTGCTTGACACTCTATCGAATCGATTTCCGTGTATCGCTCTGATTTTACGAAAAATCAAAAGCGTCTGTCAAGATATTTAAAATTTGTATGTATATAGATATAAATTTGTTTTACATGTCAAATATATCGTACGAGCGGATATATTGAATTATTCGTAAATTTATAATGGGACAAAAATTGTGATCTTAATTTGTCTGTTTAGTCGATAATAAAATTTTGTATAAATATTAAAATGTTCGAGCGTAAATTTTTACTTTGATAATAAACAGAGGGACGTGACAATGTTTGAGGGAAATGGAATAATTTTTGTTTGCTTGAATTTTTAAATTTAACTTGGCGGGTTAAAGAGTGTCGTTTTTCAAGCGTTATGGACCAAGAAAAGATGCTGCGACTCCCAATATTGCCAACATGAGTCACGCCTCGTGTGAGACACCGCTCACGCGGAATCTTATTGAAAGAAGAGATAGCGTGGGCGGACTTCCGTATCCCTTTCCTCCTAACATTCCACTTCTTCATCGACCTTATACTTTACTTCCCTTCTTACTTCCTACCTACGATGTATATGTCGAATCTATTTTATGTTATACCTATATCTATCTACTTCCTTTTATACCTTTCACATTCGCCTGATCTTCATCCACCATTCTACTCTTCTACTTTGTACTGGGAGCCTCCCGGCGTCTTCTTGTTGTGCTATCGCTTTGTCGCGCCGCCGCCATTAAAGATTTACTGCATGAAATATTACCCAGGTTCAAACCACCGACTCGACATCGTCAAGCTGCTTCGCTAGTTTCCGGCATTGATACGATGCACTTCTTCTTTTTTCTTTCTTTCTTTCTTCTTCTTCTTTTTCTTCTATTTCACTTCATTTTTCTTCGTTCCATTTCTTGAGTCTCATTTTACCTCATAGTCAGCAGCGTGTCTATCCGTTTCTTTAACAACGGTCGGTAATGCAGATTCGATTGAATGGTTCGAGTCCAAATCAGTCTGGGTTAGGTTAAATTAAGTTAGGTTAGGTTTGCTCCGGTACCAATACACAATCCATTGCTGGGATTCTACTCTACGAGAGGATTCCACTCGAACCTTTATTTCTTCAGTGAATTTCGCTCGCGCAAGACTCGTGCGAATTTCTTCAGCTGCTTTGGATTTGCTGACACTTGACGCCCGAGGTACTTTCTTGGCGCGATTGAATCTGTGAAAGAGGAAAAGAGAGAGGAACGTCAATTACGATATATTTCTATATAGTGTTTGCTATAGAGCCTTTGACGAAATTGAGAAGATATTAGGCTCCCTTATATGGATCAGTAAGGCACCTTTTTGAAAATTCATTACAAGATGCTTGTTAGGAGGTATAACATTTTTTGAAACTCTATTCCCTCTGATTACACACTTTTTTTCTTGGATTTGTACTAACATTTTGGATTTACTGCGTGGGACGTACAGGACTCTGAAAATAAGAAATGAGATTGTTTTGGGTGATTATAAAAGGAACCGATATATTTAAAAAAAAAGGGATTTTATTCTGGTAGCTCAGCGCATTGTGGGAACTATTATAGTGTTTTCTTCACAGAAAATTACCAATTTTTCGTTTAAATGATACCCGACGTACTAAAAAATAATTATCAAAATTACAATTAAAAATAAGATAATAAAAATTAACCCGTCATTGTTTTTTTCATTATTCTACTCGACTCATGCATTTAAAGGAATAGAACATAAAATTGCGCAAAGTCAATATAAACCTACAGTACCATTGACATACGTATAATCCGTCATTGTTCCAATCGTTGAAACCTTTGAGTGCTTTGGTAAGTGCTTGAGCAAGTACAAATAGGTCGATGTTACAATACAGATACCAACAAAGAAAAATCCATATTTCCTCTTTCTATTCTCTTCACTCGCGACGTATTCCACATTGTTTCCAGTGCAGTGAGTTTAAACAGTCTTTTCAAGAGACCCTTCATGCCATGACGTGTCCTTTATCACGAAGAAGCCAGCGCCGGGACACAATTAGCCATTCCAGTTGCAAGAAACGCTTTTCCTTGTGTTATTAGAAGCTTCCACAAATCCCGCCGATTAATTTCCAACAATTACATGAAAACCAAACAAAGCACAATTCGATAAATGAATAATGCACAAAAAACAATGTACGAAAAGATCTTCTTTCCTTTCCATAAGGATGTATCCCCTGTACGAGAAGACGTACAATTCTTACGAAGAAATCCACGAACTGTCACTGCCCGAAAATTATCTAAGACACGTTACTCACTTTCGCAACGGGACAAAGTACGCTCCGTCTACCGTCAGAGCGCGCCACTGCCTTCTTCTCACTAGCACCGCGAACAGTTTGCCATTCATCCTTTATTTCCTGACATTCTTTACCTTAAGGAAATCTTACTAAGCTACTCCATACATTTGCGCATCTGGCACAGGGAGGTTAATCTATCTTCACCAGTGGTCCATCACTCATCCCTCTATCCTTTGCGTTCTTCTTCGTCTCATTCCTTGCCATTTACAAGGTTTCTATTGATCTTCTGAACTTAATTGTTTACTTACTCCTCACTTATTTTCTCCTAAAATCCCGAAGTTACCGGAAAACAGCAAAGTATTTTACCGTACTTAACCTCTTAGTCAGGGACAATTTTTCTCTATGCACCCTACAGAATCCTAGTGCCAGGATACGTCTAACCTTTAGCAGACGGGAATTCGATTTTTCGGCTAAACATCAGTCTCATATCTTCCCTGCAGCGTCACTTTAGCATACATATTACATCTCCGAGTCAAAAAGTGTAAAAGCCGTCAAAAAAATTGCCCCACCAAAGGCCAATATCGAACTTAACCTTTTTTTTACACCTTTCACAATTCTCATCCCGTGACAATTTCATACACGAAACCAACGAGAAAACGGTGCTCTTAATGTTCTATTATTGTTTTCCTAATGTTGAGCTCCATTTCTCAACAGTATCCCGACTTTGTTTCATGATCTTTTCGCGCTTCGTCACACGTCTCTCCACTTTCCCGCGGTTTATCACGCTAGATAACGATCGTAGGTAGGTAAGATGATAAAAGGATAATAAACAAGAATGCCGACACTTCGCGAAGTTATTGCGCGTAGAAATACCTTTACTACGAAATATTATCATACGGCAGATAAACGAACCTTTAGGACAATATACATACATATACCGTATATCAGCCGTGAAGCAATGGCGTCTCCTTTAGGAAAATAAACTTTCAAGATGTCGTGTCCAGTTTTCTCGATTCTACCTGATAAAGTTTGACTGCTCGTTATAGAGATGCTAGGACGAGCATCGCCCAATTTGACAAAAGGATTCGGACGTACCGGGTGACCGGATAAAAAGACGACGAACAATATTCCCGTTTACGAAATACTCCGCGGGTATCCGACGCCCAGCAGTTTTCTACCTTACCGACCAAGCTTAATCTACACTCTGTACACGTTACTTGTGTCATTTAACGGCTTAAACACGTCGTGCTCGCATCACTCGCGCTTAAGAGGGTTGACGTCTTTGCTACAAGGAGTTTCAACTCCTAAGCTTTCATAAAACCATATTATCATTATCCCTACGTAAAGCGCCGACCCGTTCTTATTGATATTTGCAAAAGTAACACGTCTCCCGGCTGATTCAATAAGACCCCCAAAAGTTTAAACGAAATCTGAAAGCCTACGTGGATTCTTGTAAATGTTCAAAAAGACATCCAGTACCAATTTAACGAGCTCATGTTAAATTATAATTATATTAAATCACGAGAGACACTCCCGGAGGAAAGTTTTTGCTGTAGCTCGGAATACGTAGATTTTCTCCATCTATAGGGTGAATATAGAAGATGACTGGATCTGAATAAACTGTCAGACATCTCTCGATCCGCTTGTTAACCTACAGCATTATGCATACACACGCTTGTGTCTGGTCATGTAACATAAATCATCCGCAATGGCCAACCTGGCAAACCTAACCGTGACATTCAGGTTGGCCAACAGTGAAAATTCAAAATAATCTAGGGTCTCCGTTTAACCATTGTCGTAGCACCTATAGGTTAGGCACACAGACGCCTATACGCTACTCGTGTTAATTAATTACCAAGTCTAAGTGAGTTTGCTCAGTATGGGCGTCCCGACGCCCAGGCAGGAACATGCCTATCCTATTAGCAGCCACTATTAATTCCATCTATTAAACGGAACGTTGAACCGATCCGTTTACCACGCGTAACTTTGTCCTGCATACGATATAGAACTAAAAAGATCTGGAAAAGATCATCGATGAGTATTATTTGCGTATAAGATGTTTTTCAAAAATTTAAGCATAACCATCGGTATCCTATATTACATTTATATTTATCCTATCATTTTCTCTTAATATTTCTCAAACTTGTGCTATCTGTAAAATTATATACGCCAGATGCAATCTTCGTTGCACTTAGTGCTGACTATATGTCTTGGCACTAGGTAGCCGCTTCTGTAAACAAGAATCAGGAGCCAAGAAATCCCTGAAGGAAACTAGTTACGGTAACTAGCGGAAGTAACAATAGCACGACCTATGGACAACGTAAGCGGCTTTTAACGTAGCTCGGTCTGAGAATGTCGCGGGACTTTAATAGATAGAAGAAAATTGAAAAAATCGGTATGAAGCTTGAAAAATTAATTCCGCGTAAATCGAAATGCGCTATTTGGTAGATAAAAAAAAATTACCCATTGTTTCGAGGTACACGAAAAAAAAAATGTTTACGCAATACCGGATAAAATCGTTCAGCACGTATAACGTCAAAGTGAAAAATGAAAAATTTTATTACGCATAATTGAAAAAATTTTTTTTCTACCTCCAACAAAGATCGAGCATTTTAATCGAAATTAAGAAAAATCCTTTTTTTTCCCCCATCGCGAATACTAATAAACAGACCTAACCTCAAGGAGACTTCCGGTTGAGCGAGTTTCCGTATTTCTTTTATACTCCCAAAAAGTTCCTCGACTATCATAAATCAGTGTAGATCTTAATTGGTGCTCGATACTTTCATAGTACCCGCGATCGTTAATTCCAGGACGTTTCCTTCTTTTAATCTGATATATCGAGAGCCGTGACGTCACGGGTCCTAAATCTACGTCAAGGATACCAGTCGATGATTAATATTATTCCAAAAGACAAGATTTTCTTTTCGAGCGAGCAAATTTTCTTCGATTTCACTCTTTCTCTTTCGACCAAGATCAGCAGGACTTCCGGTTCCGTGATGGCTCGCGGGAAGTGCAGCTTTGGAAAAATCATGCTTCACCCAACCTCCGTCTTGATCCCCGACTGAACTTCCGTTACGATCGAATCTCGATTGCAAAAAGTATATAAATAAAGCTTTCACAGTAATTCCGGGCATTCTTTGTTATCAAAGTATTTGTCACTTTATCCACGAAGATCCCTAATGGCTAATCGCTTGAACGTGCAATCTGACCCAACCTAACCTACAATTCCACAGGTACGAGATACGTAGTCGGTATACGGGATCTACAATTGGACGATTAACGTTAATCGTCCTAAAGTCCATACTCTGTCCAACTACCGTGTACAATTGAAAGAAGCAAAGGTCAAAAAAAAAAAGGGAAAAAAAATCGATCAAATTGCTAGTGATTATTTGTTCGAAATTTTCTGACTGTTAGAATCGACCCAGTCATCCGGTATTCCAGTCACGAACCAGACTACGGTCACGGCGATTACTACTTTGTACGGAATTGAAGGGAACTTTTTTTTTATCCGGCCGATGACGAGGTCTGACTACGCTCTTGAATTTTCTACTTGGCTAACGCGAAAGTGCGCCTTGAAAATCTCTTTAAAGGATTTCCACTCTCCCTGTACCCACAGGTACTCGAGGTAGTGGATTTTGGAAAAATTGTAACAATCAAGCCGAATTAATATTCCATCGACTCGCCATCTGTTTTCGTACTCAAATGCGATTTTAATTATTTACTTATACATATATACTATGATCCCTACTAATAAATCACATTTTAAAATCACTTTTAACCAAAACCCACCCAACAGCCAATCGCTAGCCGTTATATCGTTTACTGGCCTTCTGATTGGCTGGTAGGTCGCTCTTGATTAAAAGTCGTCTAAAAGGCGACGATTGAATACAGGACTTTAACTTTGATTATACATATATAAAATAAACGCTATATATTATTTTATAATACATAAAATTTCTTCCAAAAATTTCTTTTATCTTTTACACTTCTTTGTCTCGTATTACAACTTTTCATTGTCTCTTCCTTCGATCCAAGTGTCCCTTCTGGAGCACTTCACCTTCCCACTTCCGTTTTACTTGTCTTTTTGTATTTCGCCAAACCGCCGTTTTCTATTGCCCTC